ATATATAAAGTTAATGACTTTTCTATAGTTTTATATGACTATAGCTATTATCTTTTCCGATATTGTAGATTGTCCAATAATGTGTATTTATTATCATAGTCATTTAAGCAAATGTTAAGTTGTTAAACAAATATTTATTGCCTTGTCACCAAACTGTTCTTTATATTTATATTGTCCTCATGTACTCATTTAGTTTTTACCTTTTTGATTCGAGCGTCACTGATGCGTCTTTTGTAGACGAAACGCGCGTATGGCGTACAAAATTTCAATCCTGGTATCTATGATGAGTTTATTTAGTGTTGACTGTCAGATGATGATTATTTTCTTACCAAGTCATTATTAAACATAAGCTGCATGAGTCATATTAAAACATTTGTGTGACATAAAGGCTTTAAAATGCCTTTGTAGAGTGAAGTTTTCTTGCAGCTAATCGGAAAACTATACAATTTCTTGACACACATGTCGCTATGCAAATTTTAATATATCAATCATACTGGTATCCTATTTTTGTATCGATGTTAGCTTGTACCTGCTATTGAGATTCGTAAACAAAACAGATGGGGCTTTATAATAACCTCTAATCAAACTGTCATTTACATAAGCATGAAAAAAGTTACTTTGCATACCTCTACCGTTATTTATCAAGTGAAATCTGAACTAATATTATATGGATTTAGCCTTACAGTATTTAGGCACTTCGGCAATCATATTTTGATATCGTACAAAAGTGTAGTTTACAAACTAAAGGTCAACATAATAACGTATAAATTATATATTAAATTGTATCATGGACAGGCGTAACAAGGAGGTTCAAAATTGAAGAATTTATAGCATCAATATATTTTGAGTGTATTTTTGAAAAGGAAAATCTTTGAAAAGAGCATTTTTCCTTGTCACCTTTTCAATTGCCAACTTAACAAAAATGTATGTGATGGGTAATGTCCTAGGTGATAGTTGTTAGCTTCAATTGATTAGAATGGGGATTTGCAAGAGAGGGTACAGAAAGAATTTGAACAAAAATGTAGGCGGAAAGTACCAAAGGTACATTCAAAACTCAAAGAGAGAAAATTATGAGAGGAAACGAAAATTACGAAAAGACAGTGTACAAAACACTACCTAAAAAACTAATGACTGGGAAACACGAACCCTACCAAAACAGGCGGTGTTCTAAGGTCTTAAAATGGTCAATTGTTTTTATCATAATGTGTTGTAGTTCAAACTACCGAATTTAGTCTGTCCAGTTAGAAAATGGCGTTGTCAGTTTATTTTCGACTTATAAGTTTGAATGTCCCTTTGGTATCTTTCGACTCTCTTTTAGAACTAATGTGACATAAATTTTCATTCTTTTCAAAAGAAACAAAAAACCATACAAAAGTATATGTTAATCTGTACAGACAACTAGTTAACTTGACCCGCAACCCTCCATCCCTCCCCCCCCAAAAAAGAAGAGAAAATAAAGAATAATAACAAAACAAAAATAATCCGAAATAAAATAAACATAGAATTAATTCAGTTACGCGGAATAATCATGTGTTCCTGCTGCACTAATTTGTGATCATCTAATTTGTGATCATTTTGATCATAAAGCAAGCATTTGATTATGATTCGCATCCAGAAATGTCATAATTGAGAACAGAAATGATATCAATTGATCGATTACATAAAAATGCTACAAAAGAGTACATTCTGAGTCGTACAATAAAAAGAAGTAACTCCCGAATTAACTTCGTTCATCGATATTGTACATATTGTACATGAGGAATAAAAAAACTATTTCAATTGAAAAAAAACAAAAATTTTCAATGAGATATAAAAATTTATCTTGAAAGCCGAGGTTCGTCGAAAACATTGTAAGTTTCATTACGCTAAAAAACTTAATGTCGAAATTCCGTATTAAATCTTACGTAACATAACACACCATGTTCTTATTCATAAGTAACTTTGTTTAACTAGTGAACGAAAAATGCAACGTCTAGCATTTACGAGTAAAATCAAATTTATTAAGGCGACTATAGTACCGATGTTCAAATCTCTTAAATCGATAAGGTGAGACAAATCAAGGTAACACACACAAAAATTGAGTAAATCGCATGAACTCCTATAGGAGCGAGACTTGGTGAGTAGACAGGGTAACCGTCGGCTGCTATGCATACACCAGCCGCCATGCGAATCCACACTCAGTCAAAATGTCGTAATTAAGAATAGGACACAATCGGTAAAATTAAAATGGATTCGGTTATTTTTAAGGTAATTTTTGGTTATATTGCTCTTCAACTGTTTCGATTGTTATACATCCTCGGCTATCAAATATTCAGCTTTGTGATGAATTTAAATCTAGAAAAGCGTGACGCATGACATTAATAACGTTTTGATATTATTTTTTTACAAATCAGACGACTTTTCTGGTACTTAAAGAATTAAGAAGGCGAAAAAATGTTGTTTGTGATTTAAGATACCGGCCCCTTTAATCGGTCAACCAACTTGTGGTGGTGATCGTAAAACTTTATAAATATTCCTTGTTTTTTTTTTTTAATATAAAATTTTATACTTATTTACCACATCAATACCAGGAAAAAAAGTATAAGGTAGTGCTAGAGAGAATTTTAAAGATGTCTTGATGTATCAACTTTGATTATTACTAATAGTCATTTTTTTAAGTTAAAGTAATAGATATTGTGAAAAATCATGACCCTAATATATGTAGCATTTTTTATACATTAGCATAAAATTTAGTAAATCAGTACTTTTATTGTCATTACAAACGATAACATGATGAAGATAGGGATGACGATTGATTGGGGTTTGAGTTCCAGCAGCAATAGTCAAACGCATATCAGGACAAGAAAATGTTGATGTAAGATAAATATGGACATATATACATAACTGACACGCGGCTCTGGATTTTGAACGTGCTATTTCATAAGGTTACACTACACAAGAAGATATGTCTTCAAACCAGAACACATTTTTCTAACTCCTTTCATTTCTTTGCTCTTCCAAGATAAATACCACGAAGAGGAGAAGCAGCAAATACCAATGATCATCTCATATCTAAAATTAAAGGGAATGCTTGTGGTGTGTGATGTATAGCTTTTAACATAATATATAAAGTTAATGACTTTTCTATAGTTTTATATGACTATAGCTATTATCTTTTCCGATATTGTAGATTGTCCAATAATGTGTATTTATTATCATAGTCATTTAAGCAAATGTTAAGTTGTTAAACAAATATTTATTGCCTTGTCACCAAACTGTTCTTTATATTTATATTGTCCTCATGTACTCATTTAGTTTTTACCTTTTTGATTCGAGCGTCACTGATGCGTCTTTTGTAGACGAAACGCGCGTATGGCGTACAAAATTTCAATCCTGGTATCTATGATGAGTTTATTTAGTGTTGACTGTCAGATGATGATTATTTTCTTACCAAGTCATTATTAAACATAAGCTGCATGAGTCATATTAAAACATTTGTGTGACATAAAGGCTTTAAAATGCCTTTGTAGAGTGAAGTTTTCTTGCAGCTAATCGGAAAACTATACAATTTCTTGACACACATGTCGCTATGCAAATTTTAATATATCAATCATACTGGTATCCTATTTTTGTATCGATGTTAGCTTGTACCTGCTATTGAGATTCGTAAACAAAACAGATGGGGCTTTATAATAACCTCTAATCAAACTGTCATTTACATAAGCATGAAAAAAGTTACTTTGCATACCTCTACCGTTATTTATCAAGTGAAATCTTGTGGTGGTGATCGTAAAACTTTATAAATATTCCTTGTTTTTTTTTTTTAATATAAAATTTTATACTTATTTACCACATCAATACCAGGAAAAAAAGTATAAGGTAGTGCTAGAGAGAATTTTAAAGATGTCTTGATGTATCAACTTTGATTATTACTAATAGTCATTTTTTTAAGTTAAAGTAATAGATATTGTGAAAAATCATGACCCTAATATATGTAGCATTTTTTATACATTAGCATAAAATTTAGTAAATCAGTACTTTTATTGTCATTACAAACGATAACATGATGAAGATAGGGATGACGATTGATTGGGGTTTGAGTTCCAGCAGCAATAGTCAAACGCATATCAGGACAAGAAAATGTTGATGTAAGATAAATATGGACATATATACATAACTGACACGCGGCTCTGGATTTTGAACGTGCTATTTCATAAGGTTACACTACACAAGAAGATATGTCTTCAAACCAGAACACATTTTTCTAACTCCTTTCATTTCTTTGCTCTTCCAAGATAAATACCACGAAGAGGAGAAGCAGCAAATACCAATGATCATCTCATATCTAAAATTAAAGGGAATGCTTGTGGTGTGTGATGTATAGCTTCGTCAAGTTTTATTCAGCCGGTATTCGAACCCTCGACATCCTGCTCGCAAACTTAAGGTAAGCACGCAACAGTACAGTAGAGAATACTGAGTCGGTAATAATTGATAACTAGATAAATTGTGAGCCTTCTTACAAAAATATTTGTTCTTATACAAGGGGCAATATGAAAAAAAATGAGAAACCGGGACCGATTTCAAAAAAACATCATTGTTGAGTAACTTTGAATACCAATTTTACACTCATAAATAAAGATGCATTGTAGAGAACTTACGTCAATTCGACTTAAATTATGACGTTGATTAAAATTAATGATGAATTCGAAATACATATCTTACATGTGTACGGCTATAAATACCAACCATCATGAAGAATAAAAAATAAATAGAAAATTTGTTTAAGGCAAAAATGCAGTAGAAAAGGAATGGAAATGCAACTGTTTGATATAACAAAAAGCTGTGATTCTTTGCCAAACAACTATCAAACATGAAATACAAATATGGATCAATGTGCCTTTGTTTAAGCTAGACTTTAAACGGTCTGATTCTTTTTAAGGACTATACATATCAAAGCTCACTTGTGTGACACGGAAAGAGCTAAAAATAGAATATTGAATCTATTAATTACTTTCAGAAATCAATCAAGAATGCTTCGAGGACACTTGACAGCTCACTTGGATGTATTCTGCATTTGTTTGAAGGCTTTCCATATCAACTAGACACAAGCATCAGGTAAATATCTTCTAATTATTATGTGTTTATGTTAGTTTTTATTTCCGTAATGTTCTTAAATAGAAAGTAAAACAAAAATTTTCTGAACGTTTCAGTGTTAATGTCCGGTTGGTTTGTTGATACCATGTGATTATTATGTAAATTGTCTCTTGTAACAGATGCATATGTGCCTGAGTGTGTCTAAATAAAGTAGTATGCAATGTTACGTGTGAGGGTTATGAATTAAATCATGACTATGCATATAAGAATAAATAAAAATATATCTATTTATATATAAGAGACTAAAGAAAAAAAAACATCAGGCAAATTTAATCGTCAATATGATATTATTTCATCTTATTCGTATATTTTGTCAAAACACTATTGTATGACACTTCAAAACCTAAAAATAGAATGTTGCAACTTATCTATATTTTGTTTCAGCAATAAGAAAAGAAACTAAATGCTTGGAGGACACTGGACCGCTCACTTGGATGTATGTTGAACTTATAGTAAAAATATATAGGTAAATATCTTTAAAGTAAAATGTGTGCATGGTTTGTGTTCATTTCATTTTGGTCCTTAGTTGAAATTAAAGCAAAAACTCCCTTGTCGTGTGTACGTAAAGGTCCGGTGGGCTTTTGGAAATTAAATTTTGTTTACTCCAGATGCACGTTTCTTCTTAATCAGATTCATCGATGGCTTCAAATCAGAGTATTAAAATATTGAAGAAATAACTGTAAATTATCATTTTTGATCATGACGCCTCCCCCAAAGAAAAGTTTTCATAATTTAGTTAAACATCAGTGGCGTCAAATCAAAGTATTCAATTGTAATAAAAAAAATATCATAAAAGCCTCATGAAAATTAATCAAATTGATAAGTTTTCAGATTTTTGTTAATCTCCATTGGTACATATCAGCTGATCTTACATACGAAGCATTTGAAACACATATTACATTATGATTCTCAGGTAATAATTTACGATGTCAGTTATACATTAAACAGTAACAATGACTGAAAAAACGATAAAACCCATAACTTTTCAAACTATAGATTCAATCTTTTGTGTCTTGTTAATGGTTTGCATAATCCTCTTATGCCAATATTTGGAACATACACCCTGATCATGCACTTAAAACTTTTTTTCAGTTAACGGTTGCATCGCATGTATTAAAGCCAGGTTGTAATTAACGTTGCGACGCCACACAACGATATTTGCTCCATAAAGTAGCGTGCAACGAAACAGGATGTTCTGTATTCTCTGTGGCTTAAACCACTACAGTATGTCATGTAGCTACTTTTTAACTTTTTTTGATTCGAACGTCACTGATGAGTCTTTTGTAGACGAAACACGAGTCTGGCGCAAATACAAAATTTCAATCCTGGTATCTATGATGAGTTTATTTATACTAGTAGCTAATGGTTCCTCCACTTTGTAAAAAACCCATAAAACTTGAAATTTAAACAAATATTTTCTTCGAACACTGCAGTTTTATTACCAAATGGGTAAATTTATTGATATCGTACAAGAGAAGTTCGGTCAGTCCTCCTGTTTGGAAACCTGAAATATTAATGTTGTACTATTGGAAACTGTTGATATGTATTTATTTTTTACACGTGGTTTTATAATGAAATAGTTCTGATCTAAAATATAAGCCACATCAAACGCTGTAAAAATGTCTTGAAAACAAAAGGTATTGTCAGATTTTTTGCTAATTTTACTCCTGAATTATTTATTGAATCAACATAGGATGCAGAAAAAGTATAAATTAAAGAATTTATCAACATTCAACGTGCTTCTTGCCTTACAGATAATAAAACAAGAATACTGTAGTTTAGACATTGATAACTATTGTTTAAAGACAGGTTCCACGAATATTCTTTTTAAGTTACTTTATACAAAATGCTCCTAAAGTTTCCTCGTCTTTATGCCCGGATGTCAAATGTTATGGTTAAAGCGGTCCGATGATGATAAATTCAGAAAAACTCTATGCACACACAATATTTATGTCTGCTATTTGTATATAGAGGTAATTTTAATTATTGATACGATACTAGATAGAATGATATTCTAAGTAAGAGTTTTTTTCAATATAGCTCAAATTTACGATTAAAAATATTTTCGAAGTGCAAAAAGTCTCAATACAGGAAGACGAAATATATAAAAGGATATTCAACCTCATAGGTCGAAATGGCAAAAAACGAATAACGACGAAAAGACAAACAACAGTTCACAAAACACAACATACCAAACTAAAAACTGAGCAACACAAACCCCACCAACACTCGGAGTTGATCATAGGTGCTCCGGAAGAGTAAGCAGATCCTACTCAACATGTGGCACCCGTCATGATGCTAATATAAGTAAAACCCAGGTGATGATTCTTATTCGATTGGTCAATATGTCCTTTTACTATCTACAGGCAATGTTGAAACAGAAACTGCTAGTATAGTAAATAGTTGTCTTTGTCAAGAATACATAGTGTTGAGTTTTTGTCTGCCTAACGTATTATAATGTTATTATTTTTCTTTAGATTGCGAATAGCCGACAATTCTTCGGCAGATATATTTCTGGTGTGTTTGTTTATTTTCATTCTACTAAGTTCTATTTTTGTTGAGAATATGTAATTTTCAATTGCTGGACAAGAATCCAACAGTTCATAAAATGGCCATTGTTATATTATAGTTCGTTTCTGTGTGTGTTGTATTTTAGTGTTGAGTTTCTGTTGTGTCCTTGTTTTCCTCTTATATTTGATGTGTTTCCCTCAGTTATAGTTTGTAACCCGGATTTGTTTTTTTCTCAATCGAATTATGAATTTCGAATAGCGGTTTACTACTGTTGCCTTTATTCATATTCTGAATTTATGTAAAAAGGGTGTCTCTTGTAAATTCTACCATCATTAAAGAGATATCAACGTCTAAGTTTTCTTGAGAATTCGTCAAAGTCCTTCATAACGTTTCGTATGGCATTTTTGTTCGAAGGGTTAATTATGAACTTTACACCTTTTGCAAGTAATAAGGTTTCGTGATCCGTTAAATTATGTCCCGATAAATTTTTCACAAATAATTTGGCATTTTTTACCAACTTGGTATATAATTTACTCCTTTTATTGTTGTTGTTTTCTACAAGTTTATGTCGAACTTTTTTGTTTTTAATAGTTCGTTTAATGCGTCTGACCATGTTGATTGTAAAGTAGTGAATTGATTCGGTGCACGTGCTATGTTAACCTCATTTCTCGTATTACACAGCGATCACCTGCAGATAATGTTAGGGTCAGATTTGTGATAAAACTCTGCATGATAGTTAATGTGTGCAACATTGAGAGATATTATATCGTTATCGTTTCGTTTTAGGGGTGATAAATCGGGTTTTAAACAAAATATGTACAGTGATAGTTGATATGGCCAATATTTATATATTTTTCTTCATAAATTGACTAGCCAGTCGTAGTAAATTCAAAAAAGAAATAAATACCAACATCTATCATATACATGTTTAATGTTTTAATCTGGAGGTAATCACAGTTTATCTTCTTCTATTTAGTTTGCCGGTAGATTCGTGCCTGTTGTAGTAAGGGCGGTTTCGACCCCTATTAAACTTGGTGGTGTTACCGGATGTTGAGTTCATTCTGTTAACACTTGTTCTGTATTGTTCCGTCCACTTGTTTTTAAGTTTTAGTAATTCATCATTGAACTCGGTGATAGCCTTGCTACCACTTTCAGAACCCGAGTTTAGTTCATTGTACAGCTCCAGTTTAAGTTTATCAGCATCTACAGTACATTTGGTAGTTAACTCCTTGCAGGATGCGGTTAATTTTTCCATGATATACTGGTCGGATTCCTGTTGTATAGCCTTTAATTTCCCCACGAAGAAGTCTTTCGCTTCATTTGGTCCAAAAAAATGGTCTAAACGTATTCAAAAATATGGGTGTTCTTGTTGTGTGATTCTTTTCTCATTGTGTATTCTAGTGTGAGAATATGATGTTTTTTCTCGAGGATGTTGTTAATGGCTTTGATTGTTGCTCCGACTGTTGGTGTTGTATGTTGCATTGAAGATGTCAAGTCGATGTCAAAACAGTTTGCTTGGTTATCAATTTTAGTGGTATCCATACTGAGCGATTCTGGCAAAGACATGTCCCTCTGGGTTAGATGTTTATGTCAGTTTTGTTCATGTTTAATTTTTCCAAATTTTCTACTGCTACTGCTGTTTCTTTGTCTGCTTGAGGTTTTTCGCACAAATAAATGTTGCCATCGTATTCGGTCGTTGTTAAGTTATATTCCTTTTCAAGTTTCGTAAATATAAATCAACATGCAGACATCTTATACGTTCAGGTATTTCACATCCAATATTTTATGGTAATAATTTTTACAAAGCACAAAAATGTCGGCATTCACCTCAAAAGCTAACCAAAACCTTTAAACAGACTTATTCGGAAGGGATATAGTTACGATACTGTTGTCAGGTCTTTCGGGATTGCATATTTTGGTATTAATATTGATTCACTCATAGGGTCTTTGCATCGGAAATAAACACATTTATTCTAAAACCAGTTGTTGATATGATGCGGGTTATGTTCTTCTCATATATTTTATGATGGTATGATACTAAACCCCTAACGGGAGGGATTGTACATGATTTTCATATGATGAAGACATAATCTTTCAATCAGTTTAATTGAGGTCTGGAGCTGGCATGTCAGTAACTGCTAGTAGTCCTTTGTTAATTTATGTATCATTGTCATTTTGCTTAGTTTCTTTTGTAACCTATTCTGACATCGGACTCAGACTTCTTTTAAACTGAGTTTTACTGTGCGTATTGCTATGTGTTTCTTTATTCTACATTGGCTAGATGTATAGGGGGAGGATTGAGATCTCACAAAACATGTTTAACCCCGCCGCATTTTTGCGCCTGTCACAAGTCAGGAGCCTCTGGCCTTTGTTAGTCTTGTATGTTTTTTTAATTTTAGTTCCTTTATATGTTTTGGAGTTTAGTGTGCCGTCCATTTTCACTGAACCAGTACATATTTTTATTTAGGGGCCAGCTGAGGACCACCTCCGGGTGCGGGATTTTCTCGGTGCGTTGAAGACCCATTGGTGGCCTTCAACTGTTTTCTGCTCTTTGGTCGGGTTGTTGTCTCTTCTGACATATTCCCCATTTCCATTCTCAATTTCATTTTATTAATATGAACGACAGTATAGCCCTAAAAATGGTATATCCCGTTTAACGAATGCATTTACGCGGGAAAAAATTCCATTGACCTTCCATTACCCATTGCAATTAATTTGTTTCTGGATTGTAATTTACTGACCGTCATCTAATTTTATATCCTACAATCATTGAAGTAGAACAGTATCAACATTTGACGTCGGGTTTGTATACATTTTGGAATAGTCATGGACTTCAATCGTCTTTTTTATTGAAAATAAGTGGATCCCTCTTTTAAAAAAATTGTTCCAAATATAATGAATTTTCCCCCTTTTAAGTTAAAAAGGCTATTGCTACATTTTTCTTTTCTACAACAG